CTGGTCCTGTTTTAATAAAGTTCACCATTTGAACAACTTGATCTAAAATCTCTCTTAAATCCTCTCCTAATGTTCTTGACATCAAAGCCTCTCTATGAAGGAAGCAATGAGTTGCAATAACATTCTCATTTTGTTCCTTTATAAAAGATACAAGACCCTTGTTGCAGCCTATCATAGAAGGAGCTCCATCTGTGCAAATGCCTACACACGATTTCCACGATAACTGCCATTTATCAAGGTAGTTATTCAGGATGTTAAAAACGTCCTCACCTTTTGTAGTCAGACTTTATTCTTTGCAAAAAAGAAACTGATTTGTTATTTGATTTTCGTTAATGAAACGAATGAATGCTATGAGTTGCGCCTTGTTGGTAATGTCGGTTGACTCGTCAACTTGCAGTGCAAAATCAGAACACTGGAGTTTATTACCACATACATTTTTCTCAATATCAGAAGGCATTTCCAAAATACGCCTGTTAACAGTATCATTGGACAGAGGTATCTTGCTTATTTTCATAGCTGCTTCATTTTCTAACATCGTACTGAGAATCTTTTGGCAAGCAGGCAAAATAAGTGACTCACCCAAAGTATGAGCTTTCATATTTTGTGCGATCAGTTCTGAGACTTGGTAAGAAGCAATTTGGGCTTTATCAGAAACAGTCATTAAACTTTTAAAAGAATCAGCTGCTTTTCCTTGCTGTTCGGACATTCTCTTGAAATAACTTGTGGGTTTGTCTTGTAAATGATAGTGTTTACTTTTAAAATGTTTACCAAGTTTACTAAGGGAGCATTGATTCATTTGACATTTTTATTCCACAAACTAAACATACTGGCTGCGGATTATCAACATTTCCGGTCCAAGAAAAGCCAAAGCTTAAATAACTCTCATCATATTTATGAGTCGGTCGCGGTTTTGCTTTCTTACAAGAACAACTTTCCACATTTGAGGTTTGCTCACTTTCAGGATTACATTCATCAATGTCATGCTTCTTTTTAAGAAACTTATCCATTTTTATGGGTGAATTATTCTTAACAAAGACAATTATATCAACGGTAATTAATCGG